CAAAACACCTTGTGGTTTTGACCAATAATAGCTCCTGCATAAAATATTTTAATGACTGAATATAAGAGTTATTAACTCTTTCTTTTCAAAACTCTTCATAAGCACATCTCTGAACTCTTATCAATAGCTTTTCTAAATCAATAAATATCATATGTAGCTCCCTTTATTTTTTCATATTTCTCCCAAACTCTTAATAAATGTATGGCTTCCATAGTCGACCTACCCGGCATGAATCCAAATTGATTTTGAGAAACATTAGTAACATGCGGCAACCTATGCTCCATAACTCGCTCCCATAGTTTTAAAGTATGACATATTAACTTAATTCCTCTATAATTCGCACAATCTTGTGCATCACCTTTATTTTTAAAAATAGGAATTAACACACTCATTCGCCACTCATCTGCCATCTTTTTAGTCTTCAAAATAGTATTAAAAAGTTTAGTAAGCCAAGAAATTCCTTCATCTCCAAAGCATTTCCACACCTCTATTGGAATATCATCAGGTCCAACAACTTTTCCACACTTCATTTTCTTTAAAGCCTCTCTAACTTTGGTTTTACTAATACGCCGATAAAAATAGAAATTTTTTATTTTCATTTAGGGTGCTAAGGTCACTACAGTCAATCATATTTTCACATTCTTCATTAAAAGGTTTAGCAAAATATCTCATCCACCTTTGTTGAATATCATTTTCTAAGAAAAGTATTTTTTGATCTTCATCCTTAATACACTTCACTTGAACTAAATCCTTACTAATCATATCTCTTTGTTTGGTTAATTTATACATATATCTTTCTTCCTCCTTAGTATCTAATCTATTATATAAATCACTAAAAGCTAAGGTTTTTGCACCGCATATTGCTTTCTTAGATTCCTTACAAGTTTCTTTATATCTTTCCCAATTTTCAGAGTTTTATAATTAAATTAATTTTTATAACAAATCCTCTTATTTTTAATCTTATCTTGTACAATTGGATTCTACCACAAACTATTTTTAATATTGTGAGTTTTTCCCTTTGAAAATTCAAGCATATCTTTTACAATATTCTTAATATCAGTAGACAATTTTTCCTACATAACATTAGCATCATCATCATGCACCGACAAAATCTTAATATTTAAAATCTTACTCTCAAAAATATTTTTGCTAATATTCTTTAAACGCCCCTATTTAATCATAGATATATTTTTACATTATTTTTTATTTTTTTGTCCTTTTATCTTAAAGTCCAAAACTAATAATTGATATTTGATATATAAATTTTCACTCGGAATAACTTTACAATCTTTACAATCTAAACGATCTAATTTTCTTATAAGAAAATAGTCAATCTGAGTTGTATTATAACAATTTTTATAAGTGATGAGATGCTCATTCCTTTTCTTAAAATAATGTATTAACAATTAAAAAACCATAAGGTAAACGAAAATTTACTATGGTCTTGTCACCTTCATTTGTCGTTCAAAACCCATGGCCACCAAGAATGCTTTTAAAATCATCTACCTCTCTGTCAACATGTCCATTTAAATCTCCTCCAATAAAAACTCTTTCTTCAAGAGGTGTCTTTTGCATTAATTCTTCTAAGTCATTCCAAAAATTTAATTTTCAACTCATATGCAAACCTACTTATAGAACATAAGCACTTATAACATTAACAATCTTAGCATCAACAATAATTTTTAAAGCTATAATTATATCTCCAATTTTATTTATTTTTATAGTATTATCTTTCAAACTCTTATATATAATCACACCTACACCATTTCTAGTACGACTTCTACTTAAATACCAAAGTTTAAAACCTAAACTATCAATCTCCTTAGTCTTCTCTCCAACCCATTTAGTTTTATGAATGCACAAAATATTTAACTTCCTATGAATCATAATATATATTAATTCCATTAATTTCCTATAAGGGAACTTATATTCCACGTTCATATTCTAATTTTTATTTTATGGACTAGCTATTTTGCCCACATCCGTCCTTGATGTGGGAATCTTTGACTATTTAACACTGCACCTGAGCGCCAATGCAGCAGCCCTTGCACACTTGTCACTGTATCCAGGCCATACAGCACGTCGCTTCCAGGGGACGCCCTAGCATTAACATAATTTCTTAAAGGATTCATGTCATTATTATTCGATAAATTTTACGCTGGTTGTCGACTACCTCACATAACCCTCCACTTTTCTAATCCAAGACTTGGGACCTGGCAACAGCAGTGTTCTCTTGATGAGTACCACCAAACCTTATAATTTGTCGTCAACCCTAGCTCATGCGAATGGAAGCTCCATATACAAAAGAGTTTGTATTCGTGGCTTGCTATTTTTGAGAGGTCATTTTGCATCACCGTGGTACACTAGGCATTGGCTCCTATGGATTGATGTGAACCTATTTCTTCACCATTTGACAAAAAATTAGTTCTGAAGGATATTAAATCATTTTCAAAGGCTCTAATTATGAAAGATTTGGTAGCGCCACAAACTAATTTAAAAGATATGGTTGTTGTTAAAAGTAAAAATGGTTGCCTAATTGTCTAATGAATAACATGTTCCCTGTGACTCGGTGATTTGCAATAAAACAGCACCAGTAAATTATATTGACAATCAAGATCCTCTGACTATAAAGTTCTTCCTAAAATAACACCATTAAATTACGGTCAACAAAGCTAAAATGAGTGGTGAATCATGAAGTACATTTAATATAACACAAAGCCCATTATTAACTAAGATCAACCTAAAACTATCCTCATGGTTAAATATCCACCCCGATTTTATAAGACCATCTTAGATGACAACCTATAAATGCTGACAAGAATACCTTACAGACTAAGTAAACTGTAAAATCTATGATAACTTGAGATGATGGAACTATGAAATCTTATTCCGATTCATCATCATCATTTTCCCCCATCATCCACTCTAAGCTAATGTCTTAAATCTTCTCTTTTCAAAATTAAATAGCTACAGCTATAAGTTAAATATTTAACATCTACCAACTAGCCTTAATCGAAAATTTTCTCTCATAATAGGAGGGGTAATTAACTATAGAAACTTATACATATGAGAAACCTCAAATCAAATCTTATAGTCCTCGCAAAATGAGGATAAAATATGTGAGTGATGCTTTATTTGATATCAAATCTATCTTTTAAAGATTTGACTATAAAATAACTCCAATATAAAACCTAAATAAAAATTTTCGAATCTCGCAAAAAAATGGCTAGAAACTAGCTTGTAATCAAAAGCAATTATTTACTATATTTGGTAAAAATAGGTTATTCAAAATTTAAAACAATCCTAACTGTATGTTAAGATCATTTCCATATCATGCAGCATGCATTAATGAGGTCACATAAATAGTTGATGTAGCTACAGTGACATTCTATATTTAATGCAATGAGGTGGGTGAGGCAAGAAAAAATTTAACTTTATATGTTTCGCTAATCAGTGTGACTTGTTATCTAATGCTGGAGATCAGAACTGAGGCATGCAAAGAATATGGTATAATAAGACATTAGCCATAAGAGATGATCTAGATCGAATGGAAGCTACTTCACCTTATATATTAAACGTTGAAGTAGGGTATGCAATAGCCAAAAATCTTTCATGTACTCCATTAGTAAGAAGGTGCAACCAAGCCCTACTTCCAATAAGTTTTAATCGACAATCATCTGGCCAACTGGCCAGTGAATGGTTATGTAGGCTACCTTAAGAATCTTTTTTAGAATACTTCTTGGCATATTTTTGTAGAGGGGTTTACAGGCTTCTAAAGGACGAAAGTGTGTTAGGACCTATAAAGGTGTTAAAACCGTTTTTCAACTCCTAAGGGGCTATTTAAAAAAACTTAAGGTAACTAGGGTTTATAAGAAGGCTTACCTAATGTAGTCCCAAATAGGGGTATGCTCCGTTGGTATCATGGCCTCCTCAAACTTCTCTTAAGTTCTATTAAAGGTTTAGGGTCTCTAGAAAGCTTGGAATGGAAAAGATTTGGGCTTAGTTCTTAATATTTTAAGCTTAATTCGCTAAAACATCCCCAGTTCTCCCCAGGGATAAGGCAAGGGCCATTACATGGATATGACTAGGTTTAAATTTCTAGTTAGGCTAGCTAGGATGAAATGGATAGGGTTTTAGAGGGTGTTGGGTTGGGTTTGGCAATGTAGGTTTAATTTGCTCTTAAGCTTTTGGGTTAGTTTAGCTCAAGCCTAACTGTTAGTTAGGGTCCCTAGGCCAATCCATGCTAAGTCTATAGTTAGGGCTAATTAACTCTTAAGTTTAAACTATGGTTTTAAAGTTAAGCTAATTAGGTTGAATAGATGGGTCGCCAAGGTTTGTTAAGTTAACTTGTGGTCAGGTTAACAAAGAACTAAGGTCAGGATCAAGGTTTATTCATATTGGATGTATAATGCCTCAATAGGTGACCAAAAGTAGATGAGTGATGAGTTTGACTACAATTTGACCTTCCTCAAATTAAGGTCAAAGTTGAACTAGTGGACCTCTTAGTGTTAGTATAGGCTTAGGTGAGACAGTTTGTACTTTGGGCAGTGTATAGAAGTCATCAAGATGGCTTTGGGTTAGGTGGACTCATAAGACCAACTAAAGCTCAAAAGAGTACTAAGTAATACAAGGGTATATTATATTAAGCTCAATAGAGTCCTTCATGGTCAAATCAAGCTAGGTATGGGCCATGGGTTTACCTATCATAACCCGACTTGATATAAACTACATATAGAACAGGTCATATCATGTCGGATTATAACATGACAGAATTCCCAAGACCTAATTGGAGAGAATTGTAGAATTTTTCTAATAAAATTTACAGAGCACAGAGCCACTAAAACTTCAATTAAACCTATAAATACTCATCATCAAACTCTTTTTCATTCATCTTAGAAATATTTACAATCAAAATAATTAACTACAAATAATATATGGCACAAATGTCACGGAATGGAATAGAAATAAAGCCATGACTGTCAAAATCTAACCAGACATACCTACATAAACACATATCTTAGATATTGCAACTATTCTCTACTCATTCTGCTCTTTCCCTTACCTTGACCTAAAACAAATGCAAAAATCAGGTATGAGCAACCACAATTCAGTAGGTTACATTCAACCTACCCAAATATTTAATGATAAGAATTAACAGTAATGAAACGGGAACATTAAAGTAATTTTTTTCATACAGAAGAGTGAACAAACTTCTCAAAACAAAGAGGTAGTACATACTTACTGAACATTAAACAATAATTCTATCACACAAATTCATAAGTAGAAAAATAATAAACACATCTTATCAATTGCTAAGAGCAAAAATATATTCGGTTCCCTCGGGCCCTTGTACCTCCCAATAGATACAAAATTTAGATATTAGACTCCTATGACTCCTCGTGCATAATACTCATATATTCAAAATTTCAAACCCTTATGACTCTCATTCAGATATCTGATTCAGAATTTCAAGCACTTATAACTTCTTGTACGTACCAGAACATAATTTCCAACAGATCATCAAAACTTCGCCAATTCACACATTTTAGATATATAAACATAAAAATAATTGTGTTTTCAGATATAATAGACAACATCAAACTTATCGCAAAATTTTCATAAAATGCTCTACAGGCGGTACCATAGATAGAAATTTGAGGGAAACCAAAAGAAAATTTCACATTTTCAAAAATTAACAAAATTACTACACATTATTCATAGTTATATTTCGAAACATTTATTGTACTACGACACTATTTATAGGTGTAAGAATATTTTTCCATATCATTAAAACGTATTTTCAAAACAACATAATGAAAATTCACAAATAACTATCAGAATGTGCAAAATATTGACAACTACAATATATCAAAAATTATATAGTAAAAAAATATCGATAATCGGATATACCCATTTTTGTGCCAAATTTTTTAATTAAAATGTAAGGAAATCTCGAAAAATTCTAAATTATTAAAAATTGAGATAAACAAAATATAACCTACATTGGCCCGAACAAGTTCCCAAGCTTCCTTGATAGACAAAATGATCCAAAGCCGCCCGAAACTCTCTCTGGAATTTCACTCTCTCTTTAGTCAACTTTGCATTAGGGAAGAAATGATTTGGCATTTAGAAAATTAAGTAGATTTTGATATTTATAAAAATTATTGCCCAACGTCGTGGTGCTCAGAGACTCAACGTCGCAGCACTCCCTTCAAAAATCATAATTCCAAATAGAATGGTGTCACAACGCCACCAGACCAGCATTGCATTGCTCTAGGCCAGACTCAATTTTTTTATAGAATACAAAGAGCTCAACACCACAGTGCCAGCACCCTCAGCATCACAATGCTCCTAAGGAAAATTTTTAGAAGTTGGATTTCACACACCCAGACCATTGGGACACGCTTTGAAATTGAATTTATGCATTCATAAGCATACAGAACATTCAGTAACATATGCATAATATAAAAACAAAAAATTTAAAACAAGCATGACTTACAAGATCAATTTCAAACCAATTCAAAACACTGTAGCAGTAGATGTTATATTACCATGGTCTAGACTTGATAGGCTTGGCATGAGGTCCTCTAAAAAAGCATGTGACCAGGCTAAGAGTGTCCATGAGGGCTACACTAGCCTAGGGTTTATCATTGGTTAACCAAAACATGATATGAAGTCTCTTGGATAGTTTAGACCTATGGAAAGGTACCTAATAGAGCATGGGGCAGTGGAGTGGAGTGTAGTAAAACAAAAGTTGAATGGTAAGACTATCTATAAAGTAAGGGCTATAAAAGTGAAGTCAACAAAGGTTTAGACAAGGTATCACTGTCAAGCTGGTATTGAATGCATATGAATTTAAATAAATTTCATTTAATTATTTTAATTTTATTTTAGATTTTATTATTGGATGTCTTCTAATCACAAACTACATGGGAATGAATCTAAGTAGTAACACATGAACCACAGAACTTTGGTAGCCAACTTAGGGGTGATAACTCCTAGGTGCAGAATAGTTCATATCCAGCAGATCAAACCGGTCAACTCACCACTAACCCAACCACTCGGGTTCTGTCTGATCACTCTACTTGAACTAAGAGAATTAAAAATATCAAGTCCTGGGCAACATGGCACACCCAACAGTTGCTCAATATATTACATAATTGATTAAAATGATTATATTACATAAACTTACCAATATTGGCAGGTATGGGCTAAAAACTTAAGACCACATGTACAGGAAAATATTAAAAAAAAAATTTAGGTAAATGACTTCCGCCAATTTCAGATTGCATTTCGTGTAAAGTGAAATCTAACATACATCATAGATTAACCTCCGCAAAACTTACATTGGAAAAAGTTTCATGGAAACTGGGTATGCTATTTTGTTAAGATTGCTTTAACCATTCAAATATTTACGTTGAAGTTAAATATTACAGAAATGAACAGTGCAGTTTTGCCTTTCTGTTTCAGTATATGTCATAAGATAGAACTAAAAATTACGATACAGATGAGCTGCGTCTAAGATTAATTGATTTATAACAGAAGTAAAGCACGTACATTCGTTTAATTAATTGTTTGTAGCCTGACTCTTTACAGCTGATACTATAAGTTTGCAACAAATCTGAAGCACATTTTATATTTTTATTAGCAAATTACAGCCTAACTAACAACCATGCGTCATGAAAAATGTTGGTTAATGAAAGATCTCAAAGTCATTAGATTTATTTTGTGATGAAGGTAATATATATATTTTTGATTAATTACTCACTCATCTCATTAAAATATTAATACGCATAAAAAATAATGCAGTACCTCCCAAATTTAACCTTTGGCAGATCTTAAAGGTTTTTTGATAACATATAAAGATTATAACAACATACTCCAACCAGTTGAAAATATAACTTTTTTAGAGCAAAAAATAATAATTTTATTATCATGAATTAATTCACAATCTCTATAACAAAATAATGTTTGTTTCTAAATATTTATGGCACTTCATGACAAAAACATGAAAATAAAAGAGATTTTTTCACTTACCATTAAAAAAATTGGCACAACAGGAAGAACTCAGCTCATAGACTGTGATTTCTCATCTTCTTCCTCTTTGCAAACAAGAAGCCTACCTTCAGAAAGTTCACATAATTGGATCCCTATGCCCAGTTGCCTGCGCAGCTTTTTCACCACAAACACCTCTGGCTCTTCACATATTGTGACAACAGTACCTTTCCGGCCAAGTCTTCCTGTTCGACCTGCTCGGTGAGCATAGTGAACTGAATCTGTAGGAAGATCCAAGTTCACAGCTAGGTCACACTCTGGCACATCCAATCCCCTTGCAGAAAGCTCATTTGTGGCCAACACTCTAATATCACCATCCTTGAAATTCTTCAGGGTGGTTGTTCTTGAGAGTTTGCTCAGGTTTCCATGTAATTCAGCTGCCTTCATTCCCCTTGCCTCTAGTTTAAAAACAAGATCCTTCAATGGCTTTGAGTGGTTCATGAAGACAATGACCATCTTTGCATCCAAAGCATGAATGCATCTTCTTAAAGTGTCAATTTTGTGCTGTGCCTTGGCAACACAATAATAATGTTTCAATCCTGGAGGCAAGCTTCCAACAGCGGCTTGGGTTACCAAGTTTTTAGTGGAGGAAGTCGAAGCTACTAAGCCAACTCCAGAAGCAGAAATGGAATCCAGAGAAACAACACTTTGGGCTCTAACCAATAAAGGATTCACGCCCCAGCTTTTAGCTGCCCTCACAACTGAGAATGGAACTGTTGCCGATACCATGATGGTTTGTCGCTCGGACCACTTTGCAAGAGGACCAAGAGCACCATTAGAGGTTGCAGCAGGCTTTCTTCCCACATGTTCAAGTATTCTGTGCATATCCTCTCGATAGTTGAAAGACAAGAGCTCATCAACTTCATCGAGAACCAAAAAACGACAACCATGCGTGTGGAGCTTTCCAGCTGCTGATATCTCTGCAATGCGGCCAGGGGTTCCAACAACAATAAGTGGTTTGTTCTTCTTCAGGGCTTCTTCCTGCCTTGAACGGTTTGCACCGCCAACAAGTTGCTGAACAAAACTTTTAAGTGCAGGACCCAGCAATCTCTCCACCTCTCTAACTATCTGCATCCCCAACTCCCTTGAAGGAGCCACAATGATTGCTTCTATGCCACTTTTCTGGTTTGATTGATTTTCTTCCTCCCCATTAGGTTCCTTCAGAGGGCCAACCATAGAGAGAATAGGGAGAAGGTAAGCAAGAGTCTTTCCAGAACCAGTATAAGATTGAATGACAACGTCATGCTTCTTTGAAATTACAGGAATCGCAGCACACTGGACTTCAGTAGGTACAGTCAAACCTTCTTTTTCTAATTGTTTAACCAGCAGAGAAGAAAGACCAAGCTCAACGAATGACTTGGGAGCAAATGGTGCCTCCTCTATTTCAACAGCACTTTTCATACCTGTTGTTTTAGTCCAGCTATTCTTTATTGTTTTTATCTTGTCCGAAGAAACTCCTGCAGCCGAGTTCGATTTCTTTAGAAGAAATACATTTTCTTTCTTTGAAGTCTCAACATCAGAATTAAGGGCAAAGCTTGAGAGAGAAAGTGGCTCCTTGTCACAATCATCTCGTCTCTTCAACAAAGAATTATTATGTAGTCCAACTCTCTTATGGAAAGATAATGTACCTAAGGAAGGGTATATTGCATGAAAGCTACAAAAGCTTGTAGATGTCAACGCAAGCAGCCTTCTATGCGTATGTCCAATTACTGCTTCCATTGGAAAACTCAGCATCTAAATAATCGCAGAAGATAATAAGGAGATGCATTACGACCCTTTCTAACAATTAAGAAATAAAAATAAATAAAGCAGGACACTTGTCCTTCTTAATGCACCACCTCCTTCAAAATCAATTTGAAGAATAAGCAAGTGTAGTACATGATTTTTTATCTCCAAATAAGCTACAATAAATAAATACCACCATGCTGCACAATTTAGTGAAATTCCAAACCAAAACAAAAGTTGAATGATGCAAGAAAAAGAATGTACAATTTTGAATGAGAAATCGATAGAACGAATTAAGACAAATATAAACTAGCACTCTTCCATGCCAAGGTTGCATTGCATGAAAAGACAGACACCATACAATGAACAATAGTGCAAGTGTAAAAGGTTCACAGTGAGCTCAGTATGATCCATTTCCTGTTACTAATTTGCCTAAAATATTCTTGTGATGATAAATTCAATTAAGGGTGCCCGAAAATCGAATAAGTTCAGGAATTTCATCTACAAGGTTCAACAAAACTGTTCTGCATCTATGCTCAGTCTATTCTTCTTCTCGTATCAACTAAATAGCAAGCAAAAGTATTTCTAATTTATTTGAACAGTATAAAGGCATACTGTACCATTCACTTTGATCGAGTTAATCTTAATGATTGATTTTTGGCACATCAAAATATTTGGCATTAGTGTGTTAGAGATGGGTTTTATTTAGTGTCCTTTAATCTGCTTGTGAATCTACATGTCACCTTTGCCCAAGATAGAGAGAGTGTGACTTCTCCTTTTCTCTTCAGCAAGGCAAACAAGTGCTGAAAAGAATTTTTGGCTTGCATTGATAAGTCTATTTGCTTGCCCTATATTACTATATTTGTCATTGGTACATAATAGTTTTCTTTTAGTAGAAAGATATTCCATTCTGTTTTAAGCTGACACTGATAATTTCAAAGTTGCAATATCACATATCTAAAACGACTTGCCAAATGTTAAGCACAACCACCTCAGATACCATTTCATCAATGTAATCATTGATAGTTGCAAACTTTAAGCAGAAGTGGCAATCAATCTTTATCTTTAGCTCCTAAATCCAATCCAAAGGATAAAGATTAAAATAAGGTATAGTGTAAAACCTTAATCTTTGCCCCAAATTAAATAAAAATAAGTTTCTTCTGACAATCAGTGTCAATAATAGCATCGATCACCTCTCACCTGACCTGTAATCTCGAGATAAGTAACTCCATTATTGTGTTTATATTGGATGATGACCATGTTGTTATATCCTTCAATATTTCAATCAAAGATAAAAATGGGCTTGCCTTGTTTATTCAACACAACAAACTGTTGTACACCACAACAGAATTTTTTTCTTTCTCATCACTCTGCCATATTCGAGGAAGAGTTCAATGTGCAGTTTACATCTTTTTATATCTTATTTTTATTTTTTTGGTATAAAATCTAATAATAGTCACCAATCTTACAATAGGCATCAGTAATATAAGAGAGGAACATCATAGGTCTTATTTTCATTCTTTCTATTGGAAAAAGAGGACGCGTCTTCAGATGGTTAGACCTACTTTCTACATTGGTCATTATTCTCTATCATCATTGCAATCTTACATGTTTGACTAAGATCAGTAATTGCAAACAAATGGAATTTATTAGCAATTTGAAAATAAAATCCTGAAGTGATTTCATTAGTATTTGGACCTCCCTCAAGATTTATTTCTAAAATTACTAGTTAATGTCAAAACTCCATTGAATAATACTAAATAGATTGCCCTTGGTGTTGACTCAAATTGTATCACTTCTTCCACCAATCTTCTACATACCCCATTGATATAAATTCTTGATGTATTAGCCACTTGAACATCCCCCAAGTGTCGCATTGATGATCATTCATCTTCATATTAGCATTCAGCCATACTAAAACATAATAGATTAACTTAAGGTAAAAGCAACCTTGTCATAAGTGTCATACCATACAGGTGAAGTTCAAACTGGTCAATGTATGCATTGAGCTTCTCAAAATGAACTATTACCATCATAAGTATGAATCTCGCCTTTGCCTTCTACCTTTAATGTTGCATTCTCGATGAGCGCTAGTCATATCCTATTCTACATCTTCTCCAATTATGTTTATATTTGGCATGGATGGAAGAAGAATAGAATTTGACCAACTAGTTGAAGCGACGGTTGTTAGTCTCATCATTATCTCCATCATAATGGCCATTTGTTTTGTTAGCCTAACCACTTACTTGGCTAGGTTTATTACAGAATCGTTGTTAGCATTGACTGGTGTTTTTCCTCATCTTCTTGCTCTTGTCTCTTACTTAGCAAGCTTCTCCAAATGAGAAATGCTCCCATCTTTGTAGATACCATGCAACAAGGAACAATGTTTTCATACAAACTTAATCTGTAGCCAAACTCTCAATATTATTGTGTAAGCCCAAAATTAGATGCTAGAATGGATTCATATGGTTTTAATTTTTTTCCTGAATGTTCCCTAATCATCTATTAATCAAATTAAAAAAAATATCTCAACAGTTGGTTCGTACTGCACAAGCCTCCTCTACTCTGATTTTCACTCTTTTCACTATTCACAGCAAATCTCTTTCATTTATATCCCCAGAATGCTATATAGAAGAATCAATCTTTGATTTTTCCTTGTTGCAAATCACAGCCAATGTCTATGCTACAGTCTTTCACTTGTGAATTTTATAGAGAGCGATAAGAATTTCTGTTTGTGACCCTGGAAAGCACTCAGCTACTGTACTGGGGACTGTTTCCAGCAAAAACAGCTTCGTAACACATAAATACCTTTAAATCCTCGAGTATTCTAATGTTTACCCAATCAGTTTCCTCATATCTATCTGTATTTATGATTTGGATAACAAAACTGTTTTCCAAATTTCTTCTTCAACATTTACTAAATCAAGTTTAAAAGACTTTTTATACAATCGAAATTCACTTAAATCCTAATTGGATAAAAAAAGCCTAATCAATCCCTGAGATTTGAGAGGCGAAGTGGAAGCTTGAACCAAAGGGCGGGTATAAAGAAGAAAATGGCGACGCTATCAACGGGGTTTGTGACTACGCTTCACCCTACCTGCAACCAAATGGAGTCTCTGCAGCGGCAAAGATGACCTAGCAACTCCCAAGCTTCAATTTTTTCCAAGAACCCGAGGCTTGAGCGAAGGAGAGGCAAAGCGTCCATGCCTTACAAAATGGCGGAGATAGTGGAGATGTAAGGAAAGAGGAAAGAGAGAAAGGAGGTGAGCATGAGAACAAGGGCCATACCTGGGTTTGTCGCCGAGAACCCTATCACCGCCGTCGATTCAATGGTGGTCCAGTGGATACAAGCAATACGAAGGGTAATCGGGGGATGCTGCGGCAGCTGGACTTCGCCGGTACTTCCTACAACATCAACGGTAGACTGTAAAAAAAATGTACGTGTTTGCAATTATTGAAGGGACATATATATTCAAAAATGAATATTTTTACTTATTTAATAGCAAAATTTTATTATTTACTCATATAATATTTTAAAATTTAAATAATAATAATAAGAGTAGCATTTGCTCTAAATTTCATCAATGCTTTCCCTTTAGTCCATCTTGAGGACTACTTCTTAGGGGATGTTTGGTAGTGGGATTTGAGAGGGCACAGTAAATTTACCCCTCGTTCAACATATTAATAGGATTTGTACGTTTGTGATGTTCTCCGACGACCAGCAAGTGATCTCCCATTTTAAAGGAGGAGGTGAAGACGGTTACTTTCATAGGTAGCAAGTTCCCAACATAACTTTCAATCCGACGTCATCGAAGGAGGAAGCGAAGAAGCTTCGTTAGTGACTCTTTCAACACATTGCACGCAAATGCACGTGAGGTCACAACATCAATAAAGAGATGGAGTTGAAAAACAAACCCTAGAGGGCCTCTATCCACTTAATCTAACTTAACATAACTAATATAATTTAGAATATTAATAATTAATTTAAATAATAAAAATAATAAATGGTGAAATTAAATAATCTAATTAAGTTTAATTAAATATTTAGTAGTATATTTAATAATTAAAAATTAATATAAAATATATTAAATTTAATTTTCAATCAACTAACCATCTTTAATCCTGAATTACATCGTCAAACAGTTCCCATAGGATTTATCAACTATCTTACCAAATAGTTTTTATGATTTAACATAACCATGATTTACTAAATCTGAATTTACAAGATTTACTAAATCCTACTTCTTGGCAAACAACCCCTTAGTGATTTGTTAGTGATTTAGTTGCGACTTGTTGGTTGCAAACCTTCATACATTACCAGTGATGTTTCCATCTATGTATGTTATCAGTTATTGATGCCCTTATCAATGATTAAAGTCAATCCTGGTGATCCTAGCAAAATTCCATTACGACTTCCTCACATCTTCATCTTGAACCTTCACAGTCGTCAGTCTGATTCACAATGAGATCACATCTCTTACTTTCATATTTCTTTGTCGTCTAGGAACTTGGGTATATGCGCGGCGACATGACAATAAGTTATGGTAAGTGATATATCTCTTTGTTATTTAACGTTTTAAGTGTCATTGAGTGATAGTAAAATTTAGATGTTAAATATATGAAAAGAATAGCTTTAGGAGTTTATATGTAAATCTAATATTATTTTTTGGGAAACTACATGCTTAATAGTCAAATTTTCACTATTTATAAAATTAAATCTTGCTTTATTTTTCAAATTATCATTCAAATATTAAAATTTACAATAAAATCATATCTCATATTTTTTCCTTTATGTCAAATTTCCAACGTATGATCATAGCCCACACAAATACATGAATTCGACCGTTTAAAAAAATGACAAGGGTGTTAGTTCTCTTAATAAATATGTTTCAGAATTATGTTATTTCTCACTATTTTAAATATAAGAGATCTATATACATAATATTTAAATCTTATTTATTTATAAAATTAGTATGTTTGCCGTTTTGTTAACTATTAATTTTTTATATTTGCACTTGTGATTATTAAACTATTGGTAATTTAAATAAAATGAAAAAGAAGAGTTGAAGTTTTGTTGTGAATTTTAATTTTTAGGTAAAAATTTGAAAAAAAAATAAAGGTAGAAGAATATTCATTTTGTAAATTGTTAAAATTTGATAGTAGCAGCTACAAAGGCATAGATTTATTATTATTATTATTAAAATAAAATAAAAAAACTCATCCATCTCTCAATTGCCCATTTCACAATGGTGAAATAATTTGAAGTGGGTGGCAACTGATCGCTTAGAGACTTTGTAGTGATTAGGAGGCCATATAATCATTTTTGAGAGAGGTAAGCACTATAGGATTCATTTGGGACAGCTTATTTACTACTTTCTAAAGTAATTTTTTTAGTGCAAAAATTTTTTTGAACTAAAAAAATTGTACTAAAAAATGCTTTAAAATAGTAAAATAGTTGTCCCAAATGAATCCCTATTAGGCACTGTGTTAATGTATTCGAATTCAAATATATATCTCCGAAATTTGACAACTTCATGTTGAATGATAACATAGGTATTATTCAAAAGTTAGGGATACAAAGAGTTCATTAAAAAAATATGATGTATATAAGTTTATATGAAAGAAGGAATAGAATGTAAAAGATTTATTATTATTATTGAGTGCTAAAAATTTTGCATAAGTAGATTGAATATTTTTCATCTTATATTTATATATAGATTCACACAAATACATACACTGATAAAGTAGCTCATGAGAGATACAAGAGTTTTTACGTAAACAATCATAAAAGGAATAACAATGGAATCCACTATGTAGATACATGTTAGATAAGAATGTCCTTCTCCATAATTAGAGAAGTCAGTGTTTCAATATTGTGGGCTCCGAAAATTTGGCCCCAGCCTCCCCTGCCGTTGCTTTTTCAGGTCGAGGGAGTTTTAACTGATTTAAGTTCATGGATAAATTTTGGGAAGGTAGATTAGGTATATAGATAAGACACACCCAAAGATCGAGATTTTGCCCTCATTTTGCGAGGACTTTATGATTTGAGTTATGATTTCCTATAAGCTTATATACATTTCATCGTCATCGTCAACCTTCATAGTCATCAGTCTGATTCACAATGAGATCCCATCTCTTACTTTAACATTTCTTTGTCGTCTAGGAACTTGGGGAATGAGCGGCGACATGACAAAAAGTTATGGTAAGTGATATATCTCTTTGTTTTTTAACGTTTTAAGTGTCATTGAGTGATAGTAAAATTTAGATGTTAAATATATGAAAAGAATAGCTTTAGGAGTTTATATGTAAATCTAATATTATTTTTTGGGAAACTACATGCTTAATAGTCAAATTTTCACTATTTATAAAATTAAATCTTGCTTTATTTTTCAAATTATCATTCAAATATTAAAATTTACAATAAAATCATATCTCATATTTTTTCCTTTATGTCAAATTTCCAACGTATGATCATAGCCCACACAAATACATGAATTCGACCGTTTAAAAAAATGACAAGGGTGTTAGTTCTCTTTTTTCTAAAGTAATTTTTTTAGTACAAAAAATTTTTTAAACTAAAAAATTTGTACTAAAAAATGCTTTAAAATAATAAAATAGTTGTCCCAAATGAATCCCTATTATGCACTGTGTTACGTATTCGAATTCAAGTATGCACTGGACAAAAAGCTCCCAATCACTCAACGACGCCTGAAATTTGATAACTTCATGTTGAATGATAACAAATGTATTATTCAAAAGTTAGGGATACAAAGAGTTCATTAAAAAAAATATGATGTATATAAGTTTATATAAAAGAAGGAATAGAATGTAAAAGATTTATTATTATTATTGAGTGCTAAAAATTTTGCATAAGTACATTGAATATTTTTCATCTTATAATTATATATAGATTCACACATACATACACTGATAAAGTAGCTCATGAGAGATACAAGAGTTTCTACGTAAACAATCATAAAGGGAATAACAATGGAATCCACTATGTAGATACATGTTAGATAAGAATGCCCTTCTCCATAATTAGAGAAGTTAGTGTTTCAATATTGTGGGCTCCGAAAATTCGCCCCCGGCCTCCCCTGTCGTTGTTTTTTGGGTAAGGGAGTTTTAACTGATTTAAGTTCCGGGGTAAATTTTGGGAAGGCATATTAGGTATATAGATAAGACACACCCAGAAATTTCGCCCTCATTCTGCGAGGACTTTATAATCTGATTTTTTTATTTCCTATAGGTGCAAGCACCAATAGTTAATTACCCCTCCCGATAAAGAGAGAGAACTTTCGATTAAGGCTATTCATCAATCAGATATGTAGAGGTACGTGTTATCTAGCATATAGTAGCAGCATGTGCATTTGAATATTTTGTTAGAAATTTTAATATTTAAAACTGAAAATAACACAATCTTGTACTTAAACTGGATGGTGGGGGAATGGATGATGGACTCGATCAAGATCATATGGTTCAGTTGTCCCGTGCTATCGTGGTCCCTAGTCTACTTAGTCAGAGGAGGTAGACGACCCAACATGACAGAAGGATCCTTATTGGCAGTCATGGGTTGCTTCGTCTAAGGGGACCTTGTAGATTAGAGGTGTGTATTCATCTAAGGGGACAAATTTGAATCCACCTTAGCTAACAGGGATATTTGTGTCATATCGATTATATCTTATTGATTCATGTCTCAAAGATTTTATTCCACTAAGGAATATATTGGCTCTGGACATAACCATTATCTCGTGTGTCATTTGGCGGTAGATCCACACAATTCAGATGGCCCTAGGTCATAACTATTTACCTGTAGTGCCATTGGTGGCCAAACCACTGGTCAGAGGACACGTACCACGTCCTTACTGCATGAGATTATTTGAGAATAGATTCTAGTGATATTTTTGACTAAGCATTAGATCTCTATGAGCTGAAGTATTTTTCAGATTTGTCAATCTCTGCAGACTATTGCGGATGGTGAATGGATTTTATACTTTAAGTGATTGATGGCTGAATTTCAAATTTTAAATATTTTGAATTTTGAAATTTTGGAATTTTAGATTTTTTGGTATTTGAGTGGCATTTTTAAATATTTGGGGACACCTCTGATTGAGATTTTCTATTAACACGACCATCATTGGGGTGTTTATAGGAAATCCTCATTTATGGATTGAACCTTGTCGACTCTGTCGACTTGCTGATAGAGGATTAGGTTTTGGAGGCTTTATATTTTATTAATAAATTTCTTTGTTCATAGGTCTTGAAGATCTTATAAGAATGTATAAAATAGATATTCTAGTCGATACCCTGACAGTATATTTGTTTGATAGTTCGAGTCATGTCGACTCCTATATATCCATATAGAAGCATCGGGCTCAAATTGTGGTTCATTTATTGACCCACGTAGCATCCCTAGACGTCACGTGTGTAC